AAGGAAGGAAGGAAGGAAGGAAGGAAGGAAGGAAGGAAGGAAGGAAGATAAAAAGTCTTGTCATGATTGTGATGGCTGCATTCCCAAACCTACATAATCCCATCCATTCAGCAGAAGACAAAAGAAAAAGAAAAAAGAGAGAGAGATTTATTGGCAAGGCAAGAAGGATTTAAGCTACCTTGGCTTGAGTTGTGCCTTCTCAGATCAAATTCATGATCAGGAGTTAGGAATATTGTAGGTATATATCATTACTCAGGAATTAATCATTCCTTTCCCAAAGGCAACTGGACTTTATTTGGGGGGTTTTTTTCTCCCTTGAAAATGTTTTGCTTCTCATCCAAGAAGTGCCTTCGGTTTAGAAAGTTCAGAACTGAAGATGCTTCTTGGATGACAAATGAATTGTTTTCAAGTTAAAAAAAAACAAAGAAAGTCCAGTTGCCTTTTGCAAAAAAGCATCTTTGGGACATTCATGACCTAGATGAGGGAGAGGTTCCATAGACCAAGGTTCTTCAAACTTGGCAAGTTTAAGACTTGTGGACTTCAACTCCCAGAATTCCTGAGCTAACATGACTGGAGGAGGAATTCTAGGAGATGAAGTCCACAAATCTTCAAGCTGTCAAGTTTGAAGACCCCCACCCACCCACCCCGCCACAGACATTCAACCGTTCTCTTCATAGGTATGTAAGATGGACAAGAGAAGACAGTCAAACCAAGAAGGGTCCTGTGTCCGTAGCTCCAGAGAAGATGAATGTCCTCCTAGGGATTGGAGTCATCTTCTTTCTCTGCAGGCTTCGTGATCCAAGTTGAACCATAAGAGGGCTGAACTTAAGGAACAAAGTCCTGTCAGCCATCAACCAATACTCTACAAGGCAACAATCCATCTTATTTCGAAATGAGGTCAACTGATGTCCACTTAGTGCAAAGTGGAATCCGTAAAAGCTTTATTTAATAACTTCTACCTTTTCCATTAGGTTCCCCCCCCCAAGAGTACATTACTGGACACTGTCATTTAAAAACAGTGACCAGCTTCCCCAAAGACATAAATCATGTCTAGGTCCCCATCAGAAAACTAATTCTTCAGAAAACTCAATCCGAAAAGCTCCGCGGTTGCTAAAACGTTTTTCTGGCGCTCCACTCCGAAGCTTTTTGATTTGTTAAATGTAAAGTCCTACACTTAGACAAGAAAAACCCAAAGGACACATACAGACCGGGTGAAACCAGGCTCAATAGCAGTAACTGGGAGAGGGATCTTGGAGTCTTAGTGGACAACCAGCTAAATAGGAGCCAGCCGTGTGCAGCAGCAGCCAAAAAAGCCAATGCAATCCTAAATTGCATTAACAGAGGGATACAATCAAGATCAAGGGAGGTACTAATACCACTCTATAAAGCCTTAGTAAGACCACACCTAGAATACTGCATCCAGTTTTGGTCATCACACCATAAAAAAAGACGTTGATGCTCTAGAAAGAGTGCAGAGAAGAGCAACCAGGATAATTAAGGGACTGGATACTAAAACATATAAAGAATGGTTACAGGAACTGGGATGGCTAGTCTAGGGAAGAGAAGGTCCAGGGGAGACATAATAGCAGTCTTCCAATATTTGAGGGGATGCCACAGAGAGGAAGGAGGTCAAGCTATTTTCCAAAGCACCCGAAGGCCAGATGAGGAATAAAGGATGGAAACTGAACAAGGAGAGAATCAACCTGGAAATAAGGAGAAACTTTCTGACAGTGAGAACAATCAACCAATGAAACAGAAGTTATCTTCAGAAGCTGTGGGAGCTTCATCACTTGAGACTTTCAAGAAGAGACTGGACTGCCATTTGTCAGAAATGGTGTAGGGTCTCCTGCTTGGACGGGGGGGCGGGGTTGGACTAGATGACCTACAAGGTCCCTTCCAACTCTGATTATCTGTTATCTATTAAACTGAACCCAGGAACGTTCTACAGGCAGTCCTCGACTTACAACAGTTCATTTAGTGACCATTCAAAAGTTACAATGGCCCTTAAAAAAAGCAACCCATGAGCGTTTTTCACACGACCGTTGCAACCATCCCCATAATCACGTCATCAAAATTCAGACACTTGGCACAACTGATTCACAGTTATGATGGTTGCAGTGTCCCTGGGGTCACGCGATCCCCTTTTGCGACCTTCGGACAAGTAAAGTTTGGGGGGGGAGCCAGATTCACTTAACAACCAGGTTACTCACTTAAGGACTGCACGGATTCACTTTGCAACTGTGACAAGAAAGGTTGTAACATGGAACAACATTGTCGACTCTCTCCCTTAAACCGTAGAAATTTTGGATTCGTTTGTGGTCGTAAGTCAAAGACTACCTGTATTTAGAAAAAACCCAGGTCCTTCAAGCATGCCAGATGATGACATCTGGCCTCACCGACAGCCAGAAACAGGATGCAATCTTGCAAGGGTAAACAGTTTTACAGAATAAAGATTGCCATTTATGTAATTTAATTCTCACCAAAGGTACAAAACTTAGACAAACGCAAATGTTTTTTGCTACCAGAATGCTGAAAACAGGACTCGTCACACATACAAGGAAAGGGGTGGGGGGTGTTGTTGTTTTTAAATTTAAAATAAGAAATCTATTCCTTAGCTAAAAAGTCTATATAGAGGTCATGGTTTGCTATATCACAGTTACATGGCTATTTTCATCATACATATTAAAAATAGAAATATTTTTTAGCTTGAAATGATGGTACCTACAAAAATTTGTTTACTATCCATGGGGGGGGGGATGGCCTTAGAAGATGGGGTTATAAGAGGGGGGGGGGTTTTGGGGCGGGGGGGGGGTTACCAATAGCCTATACAAGAAATCCCCAGTATTTTGAGTTGGTTTATGAAAATAAATTTGCTCTGCAAGCAAAGTCCTTTTTCCACCAAAGGCCCCCCTCGGATCATGGGAAAAAGATGCCCCACTAACTCTTTTGCTGGTTGTAAATCTTTGCTCAAGCATTTGCTGAGTCATCCAAAGGAATGAACTGTTGTTGTTTTTTAAAAAGAATCCACTAACTTAGAGATGTTTTTAGAGAAGCTACCAAACTTAAAAAATAAAAATAAAAAATACATAAAAATAAATAAATGAAACGAATGTCATTTGTTCCCTGATTTAAATCACCAACAGGAGTTTGGCCTCCTTACAGATCGGTTTCCCTGGTTGAATCCATACAAAGGGCGTAGAGGGACTTCCTAAGGTCTATGGTGCTGTTGGCTCGGATGTTGGTTTTCTCCGCAGACCTGGTCCCGTTGTGGGTCTCGTCAAGGTGCTCCAAGTTCACCATGGATTTGCAGGAGGAGTTCTTACTCTTGGCTTCCTCCTCGGCTGAGCTGCCCTGAACACTCCCCGGGTCGTCCTGGAGGACACTTTGATCTGTCTCCCGGTGGTAGAAGTAGTTGAAGTTAGACACGATGACCGGTACGGGCAGGGCGATGGTGAGCACGCCGGCGATGGCACACAAGGAGCCCACGATTTTGCCTCCCACGGTGATGGGGCTCATGTCACCATAGCCCACCGTGGTCATGGTGACCACAGCCCACCAGAAGGCATCGGGGATGCTGGAGAAGTAGGATTCGGGGTCATCGGCCTCGGCGAAATAGACGGCGCTGGAGAAGAGGATCACACCGATGAAGAGGAAGAAGATGAGGAGACCCAGCTCCCTCATGCTAGCTTTCAAGGTCTGTCCCAGGATCTGCAGCCCCTTGGAGTGCCTGGAGAGCTTGAAGATCCTGAAGACTCGCACCAGGCGGATGACCCGTAGGATGGCCAAGGACATGGCTTGCTGCTGGCCACTGCTGTTGCCTTGGGGCTCCCCCTTCTGCTGCTCGTGAGCGAGCTCCGTGCCCAGGGTGATGAAGTAAGGGATGATGGCCACCACGTCGATGATGTTCATGATGTTCTTGGAGAACTCGGGCTTGCTGGGACAGGCGAAGAAGCGCACCAGGAGCTCAAAGGTGAACCAGATGACGCAAGTGGTCTCAATGACGAAGAAAGGGTCGGCCAGGATGCTCGGCCGTGGCGCCTGGCCCATGGGATCCCGGATCTCAGCCGGCTCCTCCTGGAACTCCGGCAAGGTCTCCAAGCAGAAGGTGACGATGGAGATGAGGATGACCAACACGGAGACGATGGCGATGCCCCGGGCCGAGCCGGAGCTCTCGGGATACTCAAAGATCAGCCAGACCTGACGCTGGAACTCGTGCGTGGGCAGAGGTTTCTCTTCTTCCCGCAGAAAGCCTTCCTCCTCCCGGAACCGCTCCAAGGCCGCCTCGCCCAGCTGGTAGAAGCGCACCTCGTCGGCAAAGACCTCCAGGGAGACGTTGACAGGCCGGCGGAGCTTCCCCCCGGACTGGTAGAAATAGAGGATGCCGTCGAAGCTGGGCCGGTGCCGGTCGAAGAAATACTCGTTACGTAGAGGATCGAAGTAGCGCAGCCGTTTGGCCGGGTCGCCCAGCAGCGTCTCCGGGAACTGGTCCAGGGTGCCCAGCCGCGTCTCGAAGCGCAGGCCCGACACGTTCAGCAAGACGCGCTCCGCCAGCTCCCCTTCGCCCGCGCTCTCCATCTCGGCGGCTGCCATGGCCAAGGCCGAGCCGGGACGGAGGCGCTCTCAAGAGGTTCCCCGGGTTCGTCCGCCCTGGCTCAGCCTTTGGTCGCCTTCTGCGGTGCGCCGGTCGTCCTCGGCGGCGGCGGTGGCGGCGGCAGAGGTCCACGGCTGCCCAGCCCGTCGCGCCTCCTTCCCTGGGGCGCCCGGAGCGCGCAGCCACCCGGCCAGGGACCCCCGCGCGGAAGATGCCGCGCACCGCCCGCGCCCTGACGTCAAGGAGGCTGCGCTTCACAGCGCCCCGGCGGGCGGACGAGCGAAGCGGGGAGGGGACGGAGGCAGGCGGGGAGGGAGAGAGAGAGAGAGACAGAGAGGGAGAGAGGGAGGGCAGCTGCTTTCGGTCCGCCCCCCCCCCCCCCGCCTTTCTCCCCGCGCTTCTTCTGGCCTTTCTCTCGCAGGGTACGCGCGTCTCCATCGCGCAGCGCGCCCAAAGACCAGCCTCGGCTTGGATTGAAATCGCGCAGCTCTGCTTGGCGATGCGCCCTAGCTGAGCGTGGGAGCATCTCGGGGCGCCCGCTCCGCGCAAAAGGTGGCAGGGCAGAGAGGCAGCCCGGAGGATTTCCGAGAGGGCCCCAGTTGGAGACACACACTCCCGTCTGGGACTGGGGAGTGGGGCTGAGAAGCAAAGCAGCCTCCCTCCCCCGCAAAAAAAACAGCCGAGGGGAATCGCCTTTGGGCAGCCCAAGGCGCGAAGGGGTGCGCCCCAGTTGGAGACCCTCATCTGGGGCTGGGGAGAGGGGCTGAGAAGCAAAGCAACCCCCCCCCCCCCAAAAAAAACAGTCGAGGGGAATTGCTCTTGGGCAGCCCAAGGCGCGGCGAGGCGCACCCGGATCTCCTCCGGCGGGATCGCGAAGAAGCAGGCAGTGGGGACCGAGTCTCGGCCCGGTGGGATTATTTGAGGCGCTGGGTTGGAAGGAGACAAAATTGAGGGGGGGTTCCAGTCTGGAGGATGGGAGACCTTCCCCCAACTAGAGAGCCACCGTGCGTCCCGGAGGCAACTTGAATTTCCGGAAAAAAAATAAGCCAGGACGTAGATCAACATTAATAAACACGTTGATTATTTCTTTCGGGTTCTTTTATTTATAAGATTTAGAATGGTAATTAATGCATCCTTTGGGGACTTTTTCTGTTCTTTTTTTTTTTCTTCTTCCCAGCGCTTCAAAATTTAGTCCTTTTTTTTTTTTTTTTCACTTTGACCTTCCCCTGCTGTTTTATTCACCCACCCACACACGCCCCAGAGCAACGGGGAGCCTGTTAAATCCAATTATCGTCCTATTCATTGGTTCCTAACAAGTAAAACTTCTTTCTCCCGGAAGTGATGTTCCAGGCAACGCCGCTTGGAAATTCATTAGGGATGCGGGATGTTAAACAGCTCCAAAAAAAAAAAAAAAAAAAAGGCGCTTTCGCCGAAAGAGTTTTGTTTGTTTTTTTTTAAAAAAAACACCACTTGGGCTCCGTTTTTCTCTACCGTTTAGTCTTTTTCCGCTCCATCCTTTCTTTTCCAAAGCAGTCAGACGTAAAATTCGCTTGGTCGAAAAGACAAAATAAAGTCTCTTGTCCATAATCATTCATTGGAGACTGACTGCTTGTTTTCCAACTTTGGGCCAAATTCCCCCAATTTGCAATATGAGCTTCAGCTTCTTCAAAAAAAAAAAAAAATCCATTTCTGAAAATGGTGAGGAACATTATCATCTTCTATCTTTTCTTTTTTAAAAAAAATATATATATATATATATACATCTTTAAATTCTTCCATTAAAGTTTGGGAACTGGGCTCCGTAGTTCCTCTCTCTCTCATTTCCATCATTGCTCTTTTGTTCATTCTGGAATAAAACTGTCCTTTTTATTATTATTTCTTTCTCTCTCTCTCTCTCTCTCTCTCTCTCTCTCTTTCTTGCGTATTTTTTCTTTCGTGGACGAGGATTATATGAATGACTCACGAATTACATCTGCAGATGTGGCATTATTATTATTTTTCTCCAGCTTTGCAATTTTTTTTATCATATGCACATGTACAATCTCATTTGCTGATTCTTCAAAAAAGAAAAAAAAAGGTTTTTGAAGGCCTTTTCCTAAGAACTGAAGCAGACTTTTTGTTCTTCAGATACGCCAGAGATTTTTCTAGAGCCATGAAGAAGTGAGAAAAATTTCACATCGTTCCATTGCAGAATTGATAGTGAACGTCCTGCGGTTGAGTAACCCTAGCGCTATATATGGAAAAACTGGTAGTCCTCAACTTACAACCAGAATTGAGCCCAACATTTCTGTCACTAAGTGAGACATTGGTTATGCCCCCATTTTACGACCTTTCTTGCCATAGTTGTGAAGTGAATCCTCAACTTACGACTAAATTGAGCCCAGCATTTGTCACTAAGTGAGACATTGGTTACGACCCCATTATACAACCTTTCTTGCCATAGTTGTGAAGTGAATCCTCAACTTATGATCACAATTGAGCCCAGCATTCCTGTCACTAAGTGAGACATTGGTTATGCCCCCATTTTACGACCTTTCTTGACTCAGTTGCAAAGTGAATCCTCAACTTACGACTAAATTGAGCGCAGCATTTCTGTCAGTAAGTGAGACATTGGTTATGACCCTATTATACAACCTTTCTTGCCATCGTTGTGAAGTGAATCCTCAACTTGTGACTACGTAGGGATGCTAAGCCAATCCCTCTTTGAATTCCGCCTCCACATTCTACCACTTCTTCTCTTTCACTTGGGCAAGTTCCTGTGAAATTTTGACATTGTGGTGCAGCAGCATGTGAATGATATCGCCCTAACAAACTCCAAACCAATAGACTCCCAGACAGGCATTTCCTCAAAGTTCCATTTTATTAGAGTTGTCATATAGGCACATCTGGGAAAACCCGAATCTGAGCGTTCCAGATTTTCCTTGCATCATTAAAAATCAAACTCCCCATCCCTTGCACCAGTGGTGGAATTCAAAAAAAAATTTTTACCACCGGTTCGGTGGGCATGGCTTGGTGGGCGCGCTTTGTGTACGTGCGCACACTTTGCGTATGTGCACATGCCAAATGCACGCTTTGTGCAGGCATAGAGGCATTTGTGCAGGCATAGAGGCGTTCCAACTCACCTCCTGCAAGCCTGCACTCTCCCGGTCGCTTCAGCAGATGCCACACGCCACTCTTCTGTGCCGCGCAAAGCAGCTGCGCTTCAAAAACAGAGGATAAAGGTGAGTATGGAGCCAGGCGGGCGGGTGGGCCCAACAGTAGAGTGGTAGAGAGAACCGGTTCGGTCTCTGCTGCTCATCGGTGCTACCAGCTTGGCAGAACCGGGCCGAACCCGTAGAATACCACCACTGCCCTGCACCCACCAGTCAATCACCCATCGTCCCAACTGCAGACATTCCTCCAACCATTCCTTTCCAGGTGCAGGGTAAGCTGTCCTTGACTTGATGAGAAGAATGTTGTCATATCTAAACTTCTACCTCTCTATGAAATTTCTGCCCCCCCCCTCCCAAATTCCTAGGCCCGTGGTGGCGAACCTATGGCACGTATGCCAGAAGTGGTACGCAGAGCCATTATTGCCGGCACGCGAGCACGCGCCCAGAAAAGGTCTACTGTGCATGTACGTGCACCGCCTGCCCAACAGCTGATGGTCGGGTATCTGACGCACATGCAGGGGGTGCGGCGGCATGCAGGAGACACTCGCACATGTGCAGAAGCATGCAGAATGGGTTGCATGGGTCACGCAGGTTATGCGTGCATGCACAGGAGGCATGGGAGCCAGGGGTGGGTTTCTACCAGTTCTGTCTACCTCTGTAGAACCGGTAGCTCTGAAGAGCAGCAGACATAGAACCGGTTCTATGTCTGCTGATGTTTTTTGCCCACCCGCCCACCCGGGCTCTTACCAGACCTTTATTTCCTAATTTTTCATCTTCAGCTGCCCAACAAGGCTGCAGTTGAAAAAGCAGGAAAACAGGGCTGTTTCAAAGGCTACGTCTCTGAACACAGCATGCTGATGACAATTTACAGGTGTGCGGCTCCCAGCGTGCAGGGAAGCTCGTAAATCTCGAACCGGTAGTTAACCCTGTTGTACACCACTCCTGATGGGGGGCCCGTGCACATTTCCTTCTGGGTGATGGCACACGAGCACGAGCAGGCAAGGGCGCACACAATTATCGGCACGGGAGCCCAAAAAGGTTAGCCACCACTGCCCTAGGCATTTAGATGTGGCAGCATGGAAGCTCCTAAATAAGATATGGCTTCCAAAGCTGACAGACCAAAGGAAACTCGAAAGAAAGAGCTTGAATTCCTACGTTCTCTCTCTACCTTTTACCCACAGCTCACCTTTTTCTGCAAGGGACAAGAACTGCAGTGACTTCTCTGAGACTCCAGGTTCAGCATGTTCATCAACAAATCAGTCAAATGTTCTCCCGATGCAATTAAGGATGTTGGCTGATTTCCACGTCTTTTTTTTTTTTTGCTATTTTCAGAAATGTTCAGAGTCTTCCCCCACAATGTTAAAGGGCAGGAACTGTGCCTGGAAGGGTAACGCGAAGAGGAGCGGGGACCAAGTTTTCATTGGCGCAAAAGGAAGGAGAAGAGTCGCCCAGGTTCTTTTTGAGCAGACAGTTTGAAGCAATAGGGCAGGAAATGATCTCGAGCAGGGGTGGGCTTCAGACGTTTTAGCAAAGGGTTCTCTGCCCAGTTGCTGGGTGAGCGTGGCCAGGGTGGGTGTGGCCTAGTCGGCTTCCTGCACCACAGGAAGTGGGAGGGTGTTTTTGCCCTCCCCGGGCTCCGGAGGCTTTCCACGAGCCTCCAGGAAGGTGAAAACAGCCTCTCTGCACTCCGGAGGCTCTCTGGAAGCTGGAAACAGGCCCATTTCGGGCCTTCCTGAACTTTCGGGAGGCCCGTTTTTTGCCCTCCCTGAGCCTCCATGCGCCCCCTGCACTTACCTGCATCCAAAACGGGCCATATGGGGACTCCTGGGAGGGGAGGGTTGGGCGGG